CGAACAGATTTATAGCATGCCAAAAAGGTATAAATTGTGCCTTACAAATTAGCACAAAACAGCAATCGAATGGAAATTAATGCAATTTTGGCTTAGTTATGATGTTAAGAAATCTTTGATTATTTAAAAAAATTGCCTGTTTTATACCTTTTTGGCATGCTATAAATCTGTTCGGAAGCTTAAAACACAATGAAGAAATCATTTCCGCCCTATATTCCATATATATTATTGATCATTGCTGTTCGGGTTTATGTGTGTGTTAGGTACATATACAAAAATGTCGCCAAGGGCAAGCAGTTGAACTAACGGAACGTGCGCTGCTTTGTGATCGTTACAGCTGATAAAGAACCGATGCTGTTTAACATGCTGATAAGTAAATTTATGTCTGAGAATAAAAAAACACTTAGTGAGTTTCTGCCTTCGCTTCTGGTTATACTTATTTATTATCGCTCGTTGGCACAGGACTTTTGAACCTTTTAGCGGTCATGGGTGTGATAAAGATAACAAGGAAACTTTGGTAAGCATGATATTAATTTTTAAATATCATATATGGTAATTAGAAACAGTTTTAAAGTTTAAAATTTTTACTTAGCTCGTTGTTATTAAAAGCTGCCATTGTGTCATTTTTTTGCGGTATTTTTCTGTTAGTAAAACATACCACATGTACTGCTTGCACAGCTGCGCATCAGCTGTTGACCGTTATCAGTGCACTGCTTCCATTATCAGAAACAAACATTTATCGTCACATACTATTTGTTTAATTTAATTATTGCAATGCTCGCCAAAATACAATATCGATCAAACAATTAAACTTCCACTTAGGTGTACAACTACCAACTACATATGTACGCAAATTGATGGCTCCAGTGTGCGGGAGTTACTTCGTAACCATAAACTTAGACAAAACATGCACTAATTTCTGTTCAAAAACACTTTAGATCCAGTCCAGCCTCGTCCAGGAGTCGCGAATTGATCCTTTTTATAGCAGAGAGATTTGTGAGAGGGACTGGCTGGCTGCCTTTATACAAAGTCACTTGTAGATAATTGAGAGTTCGTCAACAATCAAAACTAAATGCCGAAAATTTAAAGTTATTTTGTGCTCGACTTCGGGTTGCCAGCTCCGGCGCCATAGCTCGAGCCCTTGCTAATCTGGGTCTTGTTGATGGCCTGGCCCATCATCCAGTAGACTGTAATATAGTTTAAATAAATCAGTAAGGGGCTGAGGCATTCTTTTATTTAAATACTTACAAAGTCCCAGAATGGAGAGGGACGTAATAAAGGCCGTCCAATTGGCCGCCAGCAGAGAAGTGACCAGGTAATAGAAAATGCAGAAGAGCGAGAATGCCGCCCAGCAGGCGAAATTGACCAACGAACATAGCCGAGGCTTGTTTTGGTATGCGGCCACCTCCTTTACGCCAGACGTTTTGAAGAAGCTGCCCGTCTCCAGGAAGCTATCGATGAGTTTGTCCTTTTCCACAAACAGATTCTGCAGCCAGGTGGCGGCCTCCGTCTCATCTTCGGGCACCTGCTCGAGGGGAATGCGACGCATCAGCATGTGCGGTTCCACTGGCTTGCCGTGCAGCAGGCTCAGCATGGTTGATGGGGTCTACAAAGGCAGTAAAAATATAATTAGAAAAGTAGAAAAAATGGTAGCTGAAATAGCAGTGTGGCTAGTTTTTATTACTAACTTTATGGCTCCTACACTCTTATCCAAAATTCGCAAACTCACTTAATTTAAAGCCCCAATAACCTGAGGCCCATGTGCCTGTAATTAGCTGCAATGACCATAGCTAAGATCTATTTCCATCACGGTTTAAATAAAAGCTTAAAAGGTTTTGATTTCTGGTTATATAAAGTAACCTAGACGCGATAAAGAATTATGTATGAAACTAAAAATCATAATCATAAATTCAAATCATTTCTCTCTGACTATATATATTTACTTTAAAATACAAATCAATAGCGAATTCGACAGGCTTATTTAAAGTGGCTATAAACTGATTTGGGCCAGGTGATTATTGCCATTTTGTAAACAAGATAATTAGTCTGAAACCTTGAAAACTAGGTAAGATTAGATTGCATTGCAACAGGTAGGCGGTCATGTTTAGGAACGGTGATCAAGCTAATCAAACAAACCTATATGCAAAATTTAAACCCCGATTAGTATCAAACTTAGCCGTCTAACAATAAAGGCCTTAGCGGTTATATAAATCCCTATAAGCTTGATTATAACATAATAAAAGTATACTAATAATATTTACCTTGTCCGTAGGCCTATACGCTAGATTAATGTCGTAGATGACGGGACACAGACCACGGATGGGCGCCAAGCTGGCGGTGAAGCCCTTGGTGCGCGGAATCAAATGATGCTTCAGCACTGTCATACCCCGCTCCTGGGCAAACTTAACGGATGCCTCGTGCTTGCCAGGAGTGAAGCGAGTACCTTCCGGATTCAAAAGCAGCCAGGTGGGATCGGGGTAGGAAAAGACCACCTTCAGTTGCTCCGTGATGATGGTCTTGTCCTTGTCAAAGTTTGCGGTTGAGGAAGACAAACTCGGCCAGCCACCAGCACCAGCCGATGATGGGCACGTAACGAATAGGTTTCTTGGCATAGGCCTTACAGTTGCCAAGGACTCCAAGCTTGTCGCAGATCATCCAGCCGTTAAGCCAATCGATCTCGTACTTGTGATTCATAATTAACAGGACATGCTCATTGCCAGCATGCTTTTCGTAGTCATCCTTATCCATATAGACGGTCATCTTGCTGCCCGCATACCAATCGGCCACAAAGACAATTTCTGAAAGAGATTACAGAGTGCGTAAGAAGGATTTCTGGAGGATATTGTCAAAAGGATATACTCACGGGAGTAGAGCGAGTAGCACAAGTAGTACATCAGCTTCCGGAAGAGTCGCTTATCAATGGGCTTTATAATTAAGTGCATCAACAGCTGGATGAAGTTGATGCACAGCCCACTGGTGAAGAAGGTGAGCGCGATGCATAGGTGGATCAGTCTCAATTGTTTCAGCTTCTCCAGTGACACCATTTTGATCTGCAAGTACCGAATGCTTAACCAATAAAATAAAATCCAGAGTAATCTTTACGTAATAGGAACTTCGTTCGTACCGTGACCGTAGACCCCGCGTTTTATGACCCTAAGTGAAGCAACCCGTACTAACTATGCCCGTTAAACAGCGTCCCGCGCACTTACTCAAGAATTGGGGGGTTTCTTTACGGGTTCACACACGCGGCTGTGTTGAAAGAGAGCGTGAAAAGCGGTAAAGGCAAAGCACACCTGCACCCCACACCGGCTGGCAACGGACTGGGACAACTCACACGCGCGGCAACCACCCGAGAGATATTCGCCAGATATCGGGGACTGGCTATGGCTATGTATTAAGTCGGAGCAGCTGGGGGAATCTAATCAGAGGCAATCGATGACTTCTCCCGCGGAAAAGTAGCCGCTGCGGACAAAGTCCGGTCAAAAGGTGCGACTGGTAGTCATTATGGGGCAAAGCGAAGATATCTTTACAGTAGAAGCTACTAATTTATTTGCACTTTTAAAAGAGGGAACAAAGGGTGAAATTCATAGAAGAGGCATTTTTTGTTTACTTGCATTAACTATTAGCATGTCTCTTCTTATATAAATCTATATACTCGTATTTTAAAATGTAGTAATTATTTTGTACTGTTTTAAACACAGGTATTTAATGTTTATTTAATTAAGACTTTCCGAACCTTCTTTCAATTATAAACTCAGCTGCACTTTAAAAATGTATTATCAATAAGTTTTGATAACAAGAGATAAAGGGGACTTAAGCTTTGTGGTTCTTATGAAAATAATATAATTGCTTTTTATGTACATACATATATATTCCCCAAGAAAATGAAATAACGTTCAAGGGAAATATATGTAAATTGCTTAACTCGGTCAAAGTCTTATCTATTCGTCTGATATGCATATGAATTTGGTGTTCCTGTGATGATTTAATTAAAGACATATACGGCGACAAATCAGCGCTATATTGTTGCATTCAATTGGTGAACTTGACTGTATTTAATTAATTCACTTTTTCGATCATTTGCTATACGTTCATTTATATAGAGAACAACAACAAAAGAGTTCTTTGGCCACACGCACACACCCACGGGCAGCTGACGCACACGTTTACGGGTGTCAGTGTTTGCGTAGCAGAGGAGTGAGCTGGTGGTGTGACGTGGTGTGGATTACGGTTCATCACTCTCTTGCGCTAATGATCCGAAACGCGATCGCATCAACACCCACTATTATCAAACACAAAGTCCACCCACAGGGCTATCAATCCCGTAGTGCTCTTATCGGTTATTCCCTGAGGCACAAGCACATACATAACACACACGAACCCATGCAGTAACCACACTTGCACCAATGTTTACGTGTATGATGGCGCCAAAAGGTGTTAATTGCAAAGCACTTTATTTCATTAAATCACTTGCTATTAGAACCCGCCATTTACCTTTTTGGCAATGTTTTGTGCGAACTTGGTTTGATTTGTTTTTTTTTTGTGAGCAGCGGTGTGACCGTCCGCATGTAATGCAACGCAGTGCTGCCAGATGGCATCTAAAAGTAATAAGTCGGCCCTATCGGCTTATCGATATTGTCATCGATTTGTTGTAGACTCTATCTTAGGGATACGTATCGATAGGGTAAGAAATGAAACGACAATGAGTAAGTCAAATTTTGGCGGTTAATTCTAATAGAGATGAAACGTACACACTTGGGCTCAAAACCCATTAGTTTTCGGTCACTCTAAATATACTGAATACGCCTATCGATTAAAATATTCGATCTTCCACACTTATATTTATGTATATTATTGATATTAAATAAAGCTATTACTTCAGGGCAAACAAAATACCAATAAGTATCAAAATAATATATCCAATATCGATATTTGGGCAAACATAATATCCCGATATAATTTATCATTTTGCGAAAAATATCGATATATTGATATTTTGATATATTCAACAACCCTATTGCAAATGCCAAATTCTTTTTATTAAAGAATTTTGCGACATTCACTGCAGGTAAGCGTCAAAAAATGCATATTTAGGAGTCTGCGATATTGGGCCAAGGTTTTCATCAATTTCTGTGATCACCAGAAGTTAACATGTACAGGGGGCCGAAAATACAACCGGCAGACGCTTTTTGTGTCGCCTTTTTGCAGACGTGAGCGCTTGAGTTTGGGGGTTTGTGTGTCCATTATGTATATACCTGATGTTGTCCGTCCAGTTGCAGCTGTCGCAATGTCAAACGTGGAGATCTACGATACGTCCAACTCCGAGTTAAGCAGCGACGAATACAGCCACGAGGAGGACGACGACGCTCTAATGGAGGCAGCGGTCAGCAAGCAAGCCAGTCCCGGTAACTCGACAATAAAGGCGGGAGCGGACGTCGACCCGGGTGCAGTTGCCAAACCCAAGTCGAAGCCCTCCGAGAATCCCAACGATGAAAGTGTGACAACAGCGGATGCCGCTGAAAAGGAGAAGATAACCGAAGACGCTCCTGTGGTGATGCCAGAATCGCCCTCCACGACGGCCGAAAAAATTCGACAATTCCGGTTATGGCAGTCCACACCCCTCCGTCTGCCTTCTATTTATTTCAAGCGCCGCAGTCTCGCCTGGTAAGCGTTTTATAAGTTCACTTCGTCTCCCAAAAATTAAAAACTACTCTTAATTACCTAGGACAAAAAATTACGATTCAAACTATCAGTTTCTCATAAAACGCAAAAACGCAAGCATAAGGCGAAAGCGCTACACATCCTACAGCAGAAGTGTGAGCTACAGTCGCAGCAATAGTCGTAGCCTTAGTCGCAGTCGCAGCCGCAGCTTGGAGCGCAGTTGCAGCACCGACCGCAGTCGCAGTGGCAGCCAGTCGCCAGAACTCATTTGTCTAGACGACACCGAAAATGAGGACTCCCCGAGAAGCCAGAGGAAGCCAAGGCAGCAAACGTAACTCCCATTAAAGAGAACAAAGCTAAGATCATAAAACCTCCACCAGCAACAGAGCTACAATTTGAGCAGCAGGAGAATGAGAAGTCCAACGAAAATGGTACCTCCGCCGAGCTGGAGGAGTTCCTCATGATAAAGGAGCCCAAGCAGCCAAGTCAAACTGGAACTGAGTTGGATAAGCTCACGCAGCTTGGAGCTGGAGCAGGCAGATACAACTGTGGTGCAGCAGGATGATCAGGTGGAGGAGCGACCTATGGCGGTGGATGCCACACTCAAGCGGCGACGTTCCGTGACGCCACCATTAAGCAACGAAAAGCAAAGAATTCTTGGCGATGAAGATGATACTATTGAATTTCTGCCAGCTGTCGCACAGAACTCGGTAGAGGCCACTCCAGTACTCAAATTGCAGCCTTCGGAGCTGTCACCTAAAGCGGCCGTCGTCGCCCCAACAGTTGATACCATCCACAGTCAGCCATCCTTTAAGCTCAGCTCACCATACACACTAGCACCTCCTCTCGGACCCAACGCCAAGCAGACCCTCAATTTGGGCGCACTTTCGGACAGCTTGAACACTCCAACACCGCCAGCTGTGCCCATGGAGATCTCCTATCCAACAGAGAATCTGCCGCATATCACAAAGAGTAACAATGTGATAGCTATGCCAGAGCAGCCGGCTCCATCAGTTCCAGTATATGGTTCTTCCGTATACGCATCCCAATTACGGTGGGCTTCTGCTCCTCAGGCTGCTCATGCTCCGGTCAGTCTTCAACGCGACGCTTCAGCTCACAATGATCCCACGAGCTGCCATCCGACTTCAGAGTGTGGCATCAGGATCTGGTCAAGCTCCAATTGGTACGCAACGAGTTCTACCAGCTCACGTTGGTCCACCTCGAGCCCCTCAACCGCCGACACGAGTTCCACTGCAGGTCAACGTCCCACGAACCTCTGCTCCACTGCAGGTTAACGCCCCACGAACCTCTGCTCCAGTGCAGGCTGATCCCCACGACACACTGTTCCACAGCAGGCTGCTACTCCATTACGACAAACTCAACCACACAGCAGTCACCAGCGGCTCAAGTGCAGCAAGAACAACCCCAAGTTCCGGTGAATGCCACCAGCTTTGCGATGCCGCAACAGCCGCAGCCACGTCGTTCGGAGACGGTATCCACCCAGACGCAGGCTTCTCAGCCGGAGTCTCGCCAAAAGCCAGCTGCTCCTGATCTCAAAAACAGTGATGCCAACTTCCATTATCGTTTAAGGGAGTTGTTCACAGAGTTGGACTCGATCTTTAAGGATAAAATTGATTCGGTGGATCTAAATGAAAAGTCTTTAATCGATCAAATCGACGAAGATGTAAAAACGCTGGACAAACTCTTGGCCGCTAAGGAAGATGAGTGGAATCGGCTATACCACCTCGTTGCATGAAGATAGAGCTTCGTGGACGAGTGGAGCGGAAGAAACGTATGTCCATCATCCAGAAGCTGATACCCTCGATGCTTCCCAAAGGCTGCAGCACAGAGGAGTTGTACGGTATGCAGACGTCGCTGTTTGGGGAAAATATTCTCAAACTGGCCTTCAAGTCAGGCCCAACGTCCATTGAGGAGATGCTAAATAAAGTGGAGGTCAACCAGAGCAATATCGAAAGACTGCGCGAGTGAGTGATGAGCTGTAATGTGAAATTCTTCGAGAGAATAATTATTATATACCTTTTGCAGCGTTATGGGTTTAAAAAAAAAGCACCAGCTCCATCTCGTTACCATTGGGAGAGAGAGGAGAAGCCGCAACAAAAACACAACAAAAGAAACTCTACGCCCCTTCAACAGGCATTGATCCGCGAGTACCAGGATGCGGTAAAAGAGGAACAGTATCTGGAACGTAACTGTGACTTGCCTCCGGTTAATAAGAAACCTCGGCTCCTGCGTCCCCAAGATAGGTAAATATGTAATATTTTATAATATTTATTCTTGTGACTTAAAACTTTTTATGAAATGTTTATAGATACGCTCATGAGATGACAAACTCTACGCCCAATCTGGCCGCCTCCTCCTCCAAAAATAGTTTGGGTTCAAAAAATAGTTCACACTGCAATCAAATATCCCCTGGACAACTTTTTGGGGAATGAGTCGCAAATCAAGCCGCTATCCAACAGCAGTCCCATAGTCTCCCAGCGTTATCTGACCAAAAGACAGGTTAATCAACATTTAGATACCAATTATTAAAATGCCAGTTTTATGAACTCCTCTTCCTCTCTCCAGTGCGAAGAATTACATTCCTCGAACCCAGAAATGGATGCCGAACTCTGGGGAGTCTCGGACATGGCTAAGTTCTGGAGGAAACGCAGCGCAAGGATGCATCCACCACAAATGGAAAGGAGAAGAAAGTTTGCCAACACTGCCAGGTCTATGAAGCAGTATTCGAATGCACGAGCTGCAGTAATCAATGGTACTGCAGCAGTAAGTGCCAGGTGAGTCTAATTTGATACAGAATTCCAAAAATATACTTTAATGTTTTCCTTTCACCTTCACTTTTGCAGCTGGACGCATGGGACTCGCATATGGAATATTGCGGCAATTAATTGGATCAGCATTACTACGTCTATACAACTATAACTATACCTTCTAGCGTACTCCTCCATTTACTCAACCTTGTAAGTCATTCTCATTTAAAAAGTTACCACAGGACATAGATCGACATTATGCGCATTCACCATATATTTTGTACTTTTACCAAATCGTCGCTCACATACAGATAAATAAATCAAATCCCATATGGAATACATAATATTGTGGAGAGAGAATCCTTTAGATCATAGGAATTTTCAATTTTCCCAGTCATTGATTAATTAATTTTTTATTTTACATTAATTTCTCTTTTAATTAATTAAAAAATCATTTCCCAAGACACTTGGGGTATTTACAAAATTTTCTAAAACGCATTCAAAAATGTTCCTTATTCTTTCACAACATATCTATATGATTTGCGTATCGAAGTTGTATTTTTCGTTCCTTTAAAAAATTTATTTATTCATTCAAGAAATACTTTAAAGTTTAAACATAACTGTTGGGTTCGTTGGCTCTTCCTAAAGTGTGGTATCATTAAGTGAAGGATTTAATATAATCTTTACAAATAATTTATTAATTTTTAAGTTCTTAAAATAATTGAAATAAACCATATATAAATATTATTCAACACTAAAAACGATTGACTGCAATCGATAGAGATTGCCCTGAAAAGGCGGCTAACGTTCAATGTTTGATTTTCGAAACAAAGTTTTAGTTGGACTTTCATCTATTGATTTCTTTAATTTATTTACTCGCTGTCGCACCTGGCACAACAGCTTGATGTCATTAATATGCAGCCGGAGGGGCTGCCTCCTGGACCAGGGACCACGTCGCAATTTCCGTATCCGCAGCTGCCGGCTGCAGTGTAGCCGGAATTTCAGATTTGGATTCCACACCGCGTCAGCCGAGGCGGCGGGTGTGACGCATTTGTACGCGTATTGCCACCATAATCGAATGCTCTGCTTGGTGCTGTGCTGAAATCGGGATTCGGATGGCGAGTGGGTGGGTTTTAATGGGTGTGTGTGTATACGAGGGGTGGGGTTGTAAATATTATTGCTGGCCCTAAAATTTATCTTCGGGGAAAAACAGAAAATGGAAACACTTACCATGTAGACGGGCAAGACGTAGAATCGCTTGCACTCGCGCCTTATGAAATTGAAGGCGATGGGCCGGCGATAAATGGAGGATACCTTGGTCAGGTGCGAGCGGATCGCACTGGCGCTCGTCGATCGCTGCAGACGCTGGAGCTGCAAAGAGTTTTGGCACGAGCGCAAGCGCACGTAATTAGTAGTTTCTCAGACAATTGAACAGATTTTTTTTTTTATTATTTTTGAGAACACAATTAATATGCGCAAAATGTTTGCAAAGAATTCGCGTCAAATTTGGCTTGCAAATGATACGAATCGAGCGGGGCTTCCACTTGAGTGCAGATGAGTTATGGCGAAACAAATAAATAATAATAAACAATTCGCTGTTAGGCACAGGGCTAGGGCTATTTTGTGTATAAATTTTAACACCTGGCACTCGACAACAATGCAAGCCGAATTGGGCGGTTCTGTTAATAGCTTATTTTATTATTCAAATTTTGTATTTTGTATCTAATTGTAAAACCTAAAAAAGCAGGCGTTTCTTACAAATTGTTTGGCTTTATAACGAAACCATTTCACAGTTTCTAGAGAATCTTTTAGAATAATTAAATGAAGTTATTTCTTTGAGTATTTCTTAAATCTCTCCTTTAAAAAATAAATCTACATTTTTGGAAACTTTTTACCTTTAAATGTTAATTACTACCCTTATAAATATTTTTTGTATAAAATTATCACGATCCGATATTTATAACAGCCATAAAGCTTAGCCTTTGTTTTTGTTTTGCTAAAAATAAATATAAATTTGTAAATACCACATGATTCCTTATATTTTGCGCCAAAACTTCCGCTTATAAAGTTTATCTTATTTGATAAACACACTTGTGAATGAAATAATAACATATAGTCATTATCTAAATGATTTATTATCTTCCTTTTTGAACTAGAAATCGGTATCTTAAGTTTGGAAAACTTGAGTAATTGGCTGAGGTATTTATTATTATTCACTGCGGATCGGTTGGGCAAGGGCCGGGGATGGGTGTGGGGATGTCCCTGAACCTGCTTATCAATGCGGCAACTCGAAGTCGTTGTTGTTGTCTACTTAATAATAATAACTATAAAAATTACAGTTGCAGTCAAAGTACTCAAAGTGCGGTGAGCAAGAGTAATAGCGACAGGCCAAGTCATCCAACTCGAAGTTGATAGCAATTAAATCCGCTTATCAGTTTAGAGACGCGATTTAAATTAGCACCCCAATGGAACCCACTCCCGCCTTTCCCCTTAATCTCTGCCCCGTTCCTCTCGCCGTCTCGGTTTCTTTGTTATTTGTCCTCGTCGATGACTACACGCCGACAAGTTTTTGCTATTATTAAACAGTTTTACAAGCCGCTAACGCTCAGAAATTGTTGCTAATTAGTTGAACCGCGCACCCGGCGCAGCAGACCTTAAAAGCGACCCATTGGGGGGAGAAGGTGGGGTTAAGCGGGGCAACCGCCAAGCAGTGCCAGCTCTAATAAAGGTGCGCGCTGGTATTTGTGTAGCCCAGGGCACTCGAAGAAAAGCTCTATCATACTTTTAATAAAGCTGTCAAAGTAAGCAAAAATACGCTTCGCTAAGGAGACATTATCTAAATAAAATTGATAAGTTTAATTCACATTGAAAAAAATCGTTCTTTCCATTAATATCAGTATTACACTTGAATATTTCCCTTTTCTTAGTGTAAAATATTATAGAAATAAATCAATTATATTTTAAATAATACCTAAGGTAATGGCCCCAAAAATTTTAATTGGACAATTTAATGTAAAATGTTTCGTCTATATAAGCTTTTCCCCCAGGTTAATGGCTAAATTATATATATATGAGTCATTTGGCTATTTTTTTTTTCTTTTAGTGTACGTGTCAAGATTGGAGGCAATCGAGCTGAATTAGATGCTGCTGGGGTCGATTGAGTGCAGATCAAGCGATGAGCAATCGAGTGCGCAGGGTGCAGCGTGAGCCACACAATTAAATTCTTCGGAAAAATCTGAAAATTATGAAAGGACCTTGAATGCAATTGCTCTATGTAGGAATTGCATTTGAATATATTCTGATTTTAGTGTTTCGTCAATCAGTGCGTATACGTTATATTCGAAGCAGTGCAAGTGAACAGGGTGAACTCCTTGTCAAGCAGCATCCACTGCTTGTTTTGCCGTTATCCTCGCGTGTGTGCACTTTCACCCGCTCTCTCTGTGTCTACCCCATCCTCTCCGTCTATTGCCGTTGACAATTAACACAACAACAAAAGCGAATGCAAAATAAAACAAACAAAAACAAATCTAACGCTTCGTTTAAAGCGATTTGTGCGCGCTTTTTCATGAAATTTGTTGTTGTCTTCGATGTTTGTATTAGGGGTATGTGCGTGCTTCGGGGTTTTTCGTCGAGCAGTCAGTGTGTGTGTGTGTGTGTGTGTGCCCCGTGTCCGTTGGGTTGGCACTATCTCTATCTATCTGACCGACAATATCTAAGCCCGATCGAGTGCGCAGGGTGTCGCTATGTTTGCATTCGTGTGAGTGTGCGCCTATGATTCAGCGTGCTTAACAACAACAACAGTAAGCAATAGCAACATTAAGGTGAAAGTCACGACATTCTGGATACCCGTTAGTTTGGTACATCAAATGATTTGGAATTATAATGTTTTGAAATCAGAAATTCTTCTAAAAACTTTATTACCTGGTTATATTTAAGTAAATTTATATAAACTGATTAAAATAATAATTTTAATT